GCCCATGAACTTTGCACCTGTTTGGTTTTATAAACATAAGATGGCTCCAAGGCCTGGTCCAGGGGCCCCCACCCCCCCAGGACCTTCATGCAGAAGGAAGAAGACATCACGAGGAGGCTGTTGGAACCCCGGCCCAGGCTGCCTCTGAGCCCTGGGGGCTGGGCAGGAGCTGTTCACAGTACAGTGTAATAAACCCCATCTTTTGTAATCCGCGGAGTTGAGGTCCTCAGCGTGCAGTTCTGAGAGCGGCAGATCTGGGTGAGTGGCGTGGGAACCAGCATCAGCCTCTACCTGGCACCAAACCCGAGTCATAAATATCAGGTGACTTCATAAATGAACAAATGGTGAGAAAGAATGAATACGTGGACACCTGGGCTGCCGAATGGTCTGGAATCTAGCCCCTCGGGGGGGGAGGAGGAAGTGTGCTGCATGTCTCATCTGGAGAAGAGGAGACTTCAGATCTGGCAGCGGATGGATGGATTCCGATCTCAGCTCTGTCCCTTACTGGCTATGCAACTCTGGGGAAGTTACTGGCCCTCCCCGAGCCTCAGTTTCTCCATCTGTAAACTAGATGTCTCACAGAGCCATCCTGAGAATTAGATGAGTCCATCTGGACTCAGTGAAGGTTAGTTATTATCGAAATACTTGAAGGTATGCCCAGGAGAGGAGGGATTGGCCAGCTGGGTTCTGCCACAGGGGTGAAGTTCAGGCAACTAGTACATTACCCAGAGGTAGGTGTAAGCACAGTAAATAAATCCTTTTATCTTTCCTCTAGCTCTGCTCTTGGTAGTGAAGTAACAGGTAATTTTGATTTTATTTTTGATACTTAATCTCTAAGTCTTCTATAACCAGCAGGTTTATATTAAATCCGATAGAAATGGTTATTAAAAACACAGTAGCATACATTTTTGAATCTTTGCAAGTCAAGGTAGCATTCAAGACTCCTGCCCTAGACGAGACCCTTTAGATGAACTAACTGCCAGCACCAGGGCTTGCTTGCTGCAGGAGTGGGGGCACTGAATTGTGCTAGTGTGTGTAAGGTGGTGAGTTCCCTGTGTTCGGAGGTGTGCAAGCAGGGGCTGGCACCAAAGAAGAGTTAAATTTAGTTAATAAAGGGGTTCCCTGCCAGGGGTGGGTTGCAGCATTCAAGGACTTTCTTATTGTGGCCCTCTCTGAGGGACCCCTGAAGCCACAGTGCTGGAAAGCCAGGGGGTGCCATGAGCCCTGGGGGCTGAGGGAAGGGAAGGCAGGCCCAGGAGCCCAGCTGGGAGTAATAAATATGGGCACCGAACATTTGCCCTTTTGCCACGCCTACACTAACGATGCTGGTGAGGTGGGGTTTGCTGTCACAGCAAGGAGACCCATGTCCCCTCCTGGGCTCCGCGGGGTGGGGGAGGGAGGATGAGGTAGGGGAGACCCAGCTATGGGAACCCCCCACCCCATGGGTCTTTCCCCACAAGGGGCTGCAGGAGGAAGACCATCTCCTGCCAGGGGTCTTTCTGTTTTCTCTCCCAAACAGGAAGTTGGCTTAGAAGAAGCTGAAAGTGCTGTCCTTTGACCCCTGGGGAGCCAGGAGCCAAGCCCTCCCTGACAGCCGCACCGAGAGCCACCTCTCCAGGCCCTTAGGCAGACCTGCCATTCCCAGACACAGAGCAGACCCGTCGGCAGGCTCCCCTAGACTCGCTGGCACCTCCGGCGAGATAGTGTCGAGCAGGGGCCCCATGACAGCCCCTGTCTCTGGCCGGGGCCGCTCCTGAGAATGTCGGTGGAGAGAGAGGGCCCAGCCTCCCACCTCCATTATACAAGGGAAAACCGAAGTCTCAGGAGGGCAGGCCCAGGGCTGGGAGGCTGGCTGGGCCTGGGACGCGGCTACCTCCCTTTCATCCCAGTGGTCGTGGTGGTGACATCTGCCAACAGAAGCATCGGCTTTGGCTCACGTGATGCTTTAAAAACTATGTTTAATGCATTGCTAAGATTAGTAATGGGGTTTTCTCATTAAAAAAAAAATGTTTCCTTCTCTTGAGAAATCAGTACCTTGGACCACCCCAAGCTCACGGTCCCGCCTGGCCACAGCTGCTGGGTTGAGAGGAGGTGCTCCCTGGAATGGGGCACAGAGGCACCCCAGTAAGCCGCAGTCCCCACCACTCCCTGCAGCCTTACCCTGTACCCACTCCATTTATATTGCCGCCTGGCCCCTGGAGGCGTGTGAGTGTTTTTTCTCTGGCTTAGTCCAGTCCCCGCTTCACCCGGCTCTGAGGCGGGCACTGCTGCCACCATCCCACTTTCCACCGAGGATCCAGAGGCTCAGAGGGAGCGAGTGACTATCCCAAGGCTGGCCACACAGCTGGTTAGCGCTCAGGCCAGCATTCCAGGTCAGGTGGGCTGAGGCCAGACCCACCCTCCTGATTGTGATGCCCCTCCACGCCCCATGCGGTGCGACCCCTGCCCTCTGCAGCCCCACCCAAATCTGCTTCACAGACCCTGTGGCTCCAGCCACGCGAAGGCCCTTACTGCCACCCAGAACTGCTCCTCCCCCATCAGAGTCCCACCCGTCCTTCAGAGCTCAGCCTACTTGGTTCATTCTTAGAATGTTAGTGGGTTGTGTACTTGTCTGCTCCCGCCATACCAGATGCTCCTGGAGGGCAGGAAATCCTTCCAGCAGCCAGCACAGTGCTCTGGGCCTAGTGGGCATCCTTAAAGGAGGGGAAGGATGACGGACGGACGGACGGATAGACAGATGAATGAATGGATGGATGAGTAGATGGATGGAAGGGAGAGAGGGAAAAATGAAAGGGGAGGAGGGAAGGATGGTAGGAGGCTAAAGCCAGAACCACCCCCACCTCGCCACTCCCACTCCAGCCCTACCGCAAACCTATAAGACTGGTCCTAGCTGAGTCTGCTGGTCAGCTAAGAAATCTTCCAAAAAAGCCACAGCAGCCCAGGGGCAGCAGTGCCTGGGCCTCCTGACAGTGCCCAGACAGGCTGGAAAACCGGCTGGGCCAGACGCTGCCCCACCCAGCCCCTCCTCCCCCTGCAGCCTGAGGCTGGGGGGCCCTGCAGTCTGTCCTCTGAAGGCTTGGCCTCCCCTCGCTGTCCAGCCAAGGTCGTTTTTTGCCCAGCCGGACTCTCCAGGCAGCCCCTGGGGGCCTCTGCCTTGAAATCCATGCCCAGGAGTGAGCCCCTTCCAGACGAGCCTGGCTTCCGGACCCGGCGGCTTTCTGAGGGGCTGTGTGTCTTCTGGCAGCTCCTGCCCTCTCTAGGCTTTTGTTTCCTGATCGGTAAACCAGGGACGATCGCTACTGGGTTGTCCAGTCCTACGTGCAAGAATAGGATTTTACTGTTAGTGTC